CATGGGGCGGGTGCTGTGACCTACTGGGTAAAGCTGCCGCCTACAGTGCCAGCATCCCATATGGATACCGGTTCGAGTCCCAGCTGCTCCACTTCTGATCCAGCTCTCTGCTATGGCCAGGCAAAGCAGTAAAAGATGGCCCAAGTCCTTGGACCCCTGTACCCACATGGGAGACCTGGAGGAAGCTCCAGGCTCCTGGCTTCAGATCTGTACAGCTCTGGCCGTTGAGGTCATCTGGGAGTGAACCAGCGGATAGACCTCTCTCTCTATCTCTCTCTCTCTCTCTCTCTCTGTCTCTCTGTAACTCTGCCTCTCAAATAAATAAATAAATAAATGTCTTTAAATAAATAATTAAAAACAACATGGGAGCTGTCATTGTGGCATAGCTGGTGAAGCCACTGCCTTCAGAGCCAGACTCCAATATGAGCGCTGGTTGGAGTATCAGCTCCTCTGCTTCCAGTCCAAGTGTTCATTAATGCCCCCCGGGGAAGCAGCAGAAGATGGTCCAGGAACTTGAACCCCTGCCACCCACAGGGGAGGCTGAAGGAAGCTCCTGGCTCCTGGCTTCAGTTCGGCACAGCTCAGGCTGTTGCGGTCATCTGAGGGAGTGAACCAGTGGATGGAAGATGTCTCTCTCTCTCTCTCTCTCTCTCTGCCTCTGCCTCTTTGTAACTCTGACTTTCAAATAAATAAATTAATTTAAAAAATAAAAATAAATAAAAACATGGGAAGCAGTGGAAGATGGTCCAAGAATCTGGATCCCTTTCCACCCACGTGGGGACTTGAATGGAGCTGATGACTCCAGGCTTTGGCCTGGCTCAGCCCCTACATTTGCACCCATTTGGTGAGTGAATCAGAGGATAGGATAGAAGGTCTCTCTGTATCTCTCTCTCTCTCTCTCTCTGTCACCCTTTCAAATAAGTAAAAATAAATCTTAAAAAATGAATAAAAACAAACTTTGCTGCATGACACTGAATTAGATCTAACGCAAAATAAGATACAGAAGTACATATCAAGTATTTCATATTTTTCTGAGGAATAGATTATTTTTCAGTTGCCTTTGAAAAACACAGCAGATTATTCTCTGTGTGTCTGTAACTTCTAAAATGTTTCATCTACTTGGAAGGGAGAAGGGGAGAGAAAGCATGGGCGAGAGAGCAAGCCGGAGAGCATGACAGCACTCTTCCATCTGTGGTTTTACTCCCAAATGCCTGCAACAGTCAGGCAGTGCCAGGCTAAAGCCAGGAGCCAAGAACTCCAACTAGGTCAGTGACCTAGGTGGCAGGAACCCAAGTACTTGGGCCATCATCTGCTGCCTCTTCCTACACTAGTAGGGAGCTGGGTGGGAAGCAGAGCAGCTGAGACTCTAGCCAGTCCTCAGGCAGCGATGCAGGCATCCTTAGCAGCAGTTTAACCCATGTGGCACTATACCTGCCCCTTTTTCCTACTAAATGGCTATTTATTTATTTTTATCTACTTGAAAGGCATAACAACAGTGAGAGACTCTAAGAAACTTTTAGATGCAGCATCAAACTATTTTACTGTCATTTAGTATTTTTCCTAAAACACAGATTGGTTCTTTCACTGGCATAAAGCTCTCTGTAGTCAAAGGGAAGATACCTTACTAAAGACACTACCAGGTTCATAACACAACCTGTGCCACTCTGTGAGAACAACCAATGGATAACTCTCCTATGGAGAAAATGGTGTGTACCAGAATGTGAACACACACAAAACTGGAGTGGTGTGCCAGGAAGTGAACAAAGAAGACCTGCTTAATCCACTCAAGACAGCCAGGTCTTAAAGATCTGATTCAAGACCAAGCCTCTTGAAACCTGATTCCATATGAGATGAAGCAATGAAAAAACAAACAAACAAAAAAACACATATACAAGCAATAACATATAATTTTAAGTCACATTTATAGGCATGTTAATGCACAGAAAAGGAATTGAAATTGCCTACATCAAAAATATGTTTATGCATCAAAAAATAGGGGTCCAGTCTTAACATTTTGATATTTATATTCATTAGTTGTACACACAGAAGTGTTTCTGCACAATCTACAACTTCACCATCAACCACAAATGCCGGTCTTCTCTGACTTTTCCTCCTGGAAGACAAGACTTACATTCTTTTCAGTCACGTGGCATTTTCTGAGTGCCTGACATAGCATATGCTTATTGAATGTCCACAATGCAACTGCTAGGCACCTAAATTATTCAAGGAAGCAATTCTTAGGCTATTTATAAAAGTTCACAAGTCTGAAAAGTTCTTTCCAAACTAAATTTTCAAAAGGTAGATGGTTGGGGAGCAGTGGGTGAGACACCGCTTGAGGTGCCAGCATTCCATATCAAAGTGCCACCCCTAGTCCCAGCTGCTCCACTTCCTATCCAGCTCTCTGCCAATGAGCCTGGGAAAGCAGTGGAAGATGGCTCAAGTGCTTGGGTCCCCGCTATACACAGGGGTGATAGATGGGGCTCCTGCTCCTGGCTTCAGGTCTAACTACTGTGGACATTTGGACAGTGAACAAGTATACAGAGGTCTGTCTCTGATTCTCTTCTCTGTCACTCTGCCTTTGAAATAAATAAATTAATCTTAAAGAAAAAGGCAGATTGTTACAGTGGTTAGAAGTTAGGCGTATAGCCATCAAGTTCTGGTTTTAATTTCAAGTCTGCATAAAGTACTCTAATGCCAAATTCCCTTATCTTCACTTCCCTCCTCTATAAAACACAGATGAGAGTATCCCCCTAGGGAAGTTTAACAGGAACTGTTTATAAATTAAGTAAACCAGTGCCTATTACTCAACCAATGGTAATCATCACAATGCTTTTTATACTCTATCACTAATATTAAGGATATCATTCCATATCATCTTTTGCTAAGCCGAAAACTGTTAATAAACCTAGAGAAAACAAAATCAAACAATCTAGCTAATGTGAGCAACAAAGCTAATAATTTGAAGTCCCTCAGGCCTGTGCAAGTAAAAAAAATAAATAAATAACAAAATTGAACCTGTCAGTTAATCTGGCAGAGTTAACTTCCATACTGATACACACAAACAATGCATTTTTAATGTCCATTCCAGGAAAAGTTTTTTAATCATCTAACTTCACCGGCTGAAAATGTCCATACTTAGTCCATACACATTGTTAAGCTATGTATCACTCTTATTGAGGAATATGCTAACTGCCCAAGTTCTCAATTTACCCACAGTGCTCAACAATGCCTTCTACAGAAAACCAAAAAGAAATCTTGTCCAAAAGAATATAATGAATAAGTTCAGAGTGAAGTTCAGAGGACACCTTGGATAAAGATCTAAAAGGTAATTTTTAAACACTGTTCTGTTGATATCTCTATTTTTTTTTATGAAATGCCAGTCTTTATATTTCACCAAATTATTAACTCAATATAAAATATCATTAGATGAGTTCATCTTATGTCAGATATTCAAAATGTAACATTTAATTTGATAATTAGGAAGCACCTAGTATATTCTAAAAGATTAAAAACCAAGAACTTATTCCCTCAAACAGATAAAGACAGAAATCTCTTCTACACATTAAAAACCAAAGAAGTAGGAGAAAAGTTTACAGAATGAAATGAAACTAACAGGATCTCAGGGCTGGCGCTGTGGCGTAGCGGGTAAAGTTGCTGCCTGCAGTGCTGGCATCCCATATGGGCACCGGTTCAAGTCCCAGCTACTCTACTTCCGATGCAGCTCTCTGCTATGTCCTGGGAAAGCAGTGGAAGATGGCCAAAGTCCTTGGGCCCCTGCACCCATGTGGGAGACCCAGAAGAAGCTCCTGGCTTTGGATGGGCTCAGCTCCATCCGTTGCAGCCAACTGGAGAGTGAACCAGCAGATAGAAGACCTCTCCCTCTCTCTCTCTCTCTGTCTCTCATTCTCTCTCTGTGTAACTCTTTCAAATAAATAAATAAATCTTTAAAAAAAAATTGAAACAGGATCTGTAAAACTTCAACTTCCCAGTATTCTTAAAATATTTTAATTCTCTGCTAACATTTTTGAAATCAACCAAATGCAATAAACCACAAATTCAAGTATATTTATGTATATATGATATTGCAGGACTGTGTGCATGTACGCATTTGTACATACATATACACATGTGTGTATATATGTATACATATGTGTGGACATTTATATCTTATTTGTCTCTAACAAGTCATTTTTTACAAGCATCACATCTGCTCAGAAAAACAAACACACCAACAGAATTGGTAGACTCAAGCAAATATGCTACCTGTGCTCACTCTATAATTTTCATTGCAAAAATAAAAGCAGCACAGCAGGTGCAAAACATGGCCTCTTTCATCAACAGTACTAATGGCTAATTGGCTCTCAAATATTCCCTCATTTAGTTTTATAAGAGATCAACTAATGAATGCTTTTCAAAAGTTAATTTCAACAACTATATTTCCTTAGTCTCTTAAAAAGGCCACAATAGCATCATATTTGATATACACACTTTTTTTTAAAGATTTATTTATTTATTTGAGAAGCAGAGTTATAGACAGAAAGAAGGAGAGTCAGAGAGAAGGGTCTTCCATCTGCTGGTTCATTCCTCAAATGGCCACACTGGCTGGAGTTGGGCCAATCCAAAGCCAGAAGCTTTTCTGGGTCTCCCACATTGGTGCAGGGGCCAAAGCACTTGGGCCATCCTCTACTTCTTTCTCAAGCCATCAGTAGGGAGCTGGGTCAGAAATGGAGCAGCCAGGACTCAAACCAGCACTCACATGGGATGCCAGTGTCGCAGACAGATGCTTAACCTACTATGCCACAGTGCCAGCCCCCAGTCACTTCTCTAGTAGCATAGCGCTGACAAAATCCAACAAAAAGCACTCTTATTTGTTATATTTAATGGAAAACACAACACAAAAGACTATAAGCTATAAGTAAAAATACTAAAAATTCTAACAAAGTTTGTTCTGGTACAATAATCAGAGAACAACAATTTGCAATTACTGTAACAGAGCTTACCTGTTCATTTTTGCAAAGCCACACGCTGTTTCCCCTTAGCACAGTAAAAATTTTGGCTTTATACCCTCTCAATTCAAGATATCCACATTTCTCAGGTGCAGCAACCACTTGAGACTGTGAGGTAAGGGACTGTGTTTTCAGTGCATTTAACAGTATACTGATCCAGTCATTTCTCTCCTCTGAAAACAGGAAAAAAATATAATATTTATATTACATATAAATGGAAATGTCAACAAGGAATCTATTCTCTGCAATCGATCATTCACAGGTTCTTTTCCATACCAGGATCTAAATCTCAGTGTAAGCAACGATGGCCAAAGTCTGAGGGGAAAGGAATACCATTCAGTTGTACCATTAGTATCAGTGGCTTCTCCTAAGAGTCTATTAGAAATGCAAAGTCTCAGGCCCCTTTCAAGATCTGAGGAATCAGAATCTGCGTTAAAAAAAAAAAAAAAAACAAACCTCCAGTTGATCTGTATCCATGTTAATATCTGAGAGGCACTCTTTTATAATAGTCATGAGATTAGATTATCTCTCTTAAACTCATATGGCAACTCAACAATTAACAGACTCTACTTGGCAATTTAGTTTCTCAAATATCCAGAAAATCTTACTCCCTATCAGGCACTTGGCACCTAATGTATTTGAGTATGCCTACTCTCACCACAGTAACCATCAATAGCATCTCTGTTGGCTAATTAAAACCTGGATTTCTACTCCTTCCACAAAAGCAAGTGACCTTCAAGTATGCACAACACACTGTATTATAGGCATAGGAATTTGATCTAGTCCCCAAAGAGCAATCAAAGCTTTAAGTCAAGTTAGAACTGAACACAGAGTCATATTATAAATGTCATACAAATGGCATCAAATAATATATGAATCAATTCAATCAAGGGAAGTGATTTGCTGAAGGTTAAATAGCAAGTTAGTATTAAAATAAGGAGAATCCCATGTTTTAACTCTCCCACAACTGTTCTTGGCACCATTATAAAAGAGGTATTTTATCAGCTCTTGAGGAGCAGAAATTAAAAAAAAAATCATTCTGGGCGTGGGAAGATGAGCCAGGAACAAAGGCAGGGGAAACTGACCAACATGGAGATGAATCTATATATAATTCTTGAACTCACAAGAAAATGGAAGCAAATGTGGCTAATAAATCTATACTGCCTCCTTAAGGAATTTTGGCACAAAGAAGCCATGTCAGGATTCTTAACGAAGAGAATAGTGATTAATATAATCAAGACTATGACAAATATGCCAGACTGCAAGCTTTAAGATTAATAATAAAAGGGACTTAAAGTACAATGAAAATGGACAAATGAACATATGAAGGATCAAGACATTAAGAGGAGTAAAGAAGGAGCTGATGTATTGAATATGCTTGATGGTGTTCATTTAAAAAAAAGCTACTCTAAAGAAAAGGTAGCTTGACAGCATGCACTGGCCATAGGAGATAGGAGGATCCAATTAATCAACAAAACCGCCTCAGATTTCAGTGCCCCAGCATGACCATCTAGGCAGACTGATTGCAACATGTGAACAAAGATAACCCACATGAGAGAAGACACATGGAAGTGGATAAATGTTTAAGGTACAAGGAGAACTGGGCCTACAATGAGATGTTACTAACTATACGAAGCTGGAAGATGCCTACCAAAAAATACGGGAGAGGTGGTTATCAAGGCAAGAACAAACAAAACAATTTTTCTCAGGTGAGAAAAAATTTTAAAGACAGAAGGAGCAGTAAGAGGTAAACACAGTCTAAGCATGAAAAACTGGACAATTTCTCAGATCCTTCAGACAGGTCTACACAGGAGAACTTCATTGTGCAAAGAAATGCCTCTGTGTTAGACTTGCTCACATTCAAACATGAGTCCAGTTATTTTCACAAGTCTTAATTTTAAACTTCATTCTTGCTCCACTTCAATATTATTCACAACGGTTGGTTATATCTTTTACTGACCAAAGCCAAAGTATGTATTAAAAACTCATTCAAGAATGCTTTATGGCAAGTTTCATAATCCCAAGGAACTGGTGCAGGTTACCATATATCAGAAAGAAATATTTACCAAACTTCCTAGCACTGTTGCATATCATCAACTAGAAGATATGAAAATATTCAGGTAGCTAAGTCAATGTCAGCATGCAGCAGCTACTCTACTCTTTTATGTCTGCATAAACAAATCCAGGTGACACTATGATAATGAATTGCATTTTCAGTCACAGCAACAGACCTTCCACCTACCTTGGGTCTTACTTGTGATCACTACTTTCACACAAAATATCTCTGCTAAGTAATTGGTATATAAGGTTTTCATTTGTTGGCTTGTGTCAATTCACATAAATCACCGAGTTTGAAATGTAGTTCACAATTTAATGAACTGGGCCAAAGTGTTTGTGGGTTTCTGATTACCATGAGCATGTATCTCAGGTTCTCATGAAGTGATGTCAAACTGGTAACTATACCTGCTGGACATGGGCATATTGTGGTTGAATGGTTGCATCTCAACACAGCATTTCCTTAAACCCTAGAAGAATTACCTGGCTTCTGAGGGTTTCAGTCACTACCAAGAAGTAAACAGTTAGGAAGAAGAACTAGATTTACTAGTAACATCCAGTTTATGCTTAACTATCCAAGCCAATGCCAAGAGGAAGAAAGAAACAGACAATCCAAACACAATAAGACAGATTCAAAGAGTCATTTATATTAAGCTGTCTGATATGTGCATCCTCAGGCATGGGAAACATGCTTTGGTAAGTCACAAAGTTCAAAACCAAATCATGATTTCCTCTTGGATAAATGTCTTAGGCAAGGCAAGACACTATGCTAGCTTTCCTCTGCTCTTCACACTAAGACATTTCTATCCTCTGCAATAACAACTGCCTACTGCATGTCCACCCTGGTCTTGGACTGAGCTAAGTACTAACCCTTCTGAAAATGGGCTCTGACCTAAATGTACTTTTATTACAAGAATGGCATTCTGGATTGGGAGAAAAAAAAGGAGAGCAGAAGAGATACAGAGCTAAGTGCTTAAACTGCCAGCTTCTTGTGATTATGCTAGAATGTAAACAAAAGACAACAGCATTTTCGTCAAATTTCATACAGTTCTTGAGATTTTCAGGATTGCTAGATTATATTACAAGAATCAAAAAAGGAGGTTAAAAATAAACAGGAAGGGGAGAATATTTTCCAGACTAAGTAGTTTAGTGGTGGCCATATTCATTAGTAACAAAAGATTAATCATACTAGAAATTACTACATAAGGGCCATGTGAATCATCGAAAGCATAATTTAACAGTTTATCTGGCCATTATTTATGATATGACTACAGACCCCTCAATGTAACCCATGATTAATATCAGAGAAGGAAGCGTAACACACCAGTGCTGTTCTTCAAATTGACAGCCACTCATGCATACAAATATTTACTGAATGCCACTATGTTCCAGGACCAATTCTGATACCAGTAATGGGGCAATGAACAAGATATATGAAGCCCTTACTCTCCTGGTGTTTGCACTCTAGTGAAAGGAAGAATGCCATAAGAACTTAGCTACATACTATATTCACAGTGACAGGTGTAATGGGATAATATAAAGCACAAGAGGAGAGTATACTGAGTGCTATTTTATAGAAAGTTGTAGAAAAGACCTCATAAAGGGGAACGGTTAAGCAGAAGCCTCAAGGACATTCAAAAAATAGAGCAAGCCTGGAGGGTGGCCAGGAGAGGAGAATCCCAGAATGGCACACTTCACATATTCAATGAACAAGAGGCTCCTGCAGTTGAAAGGCAATGGATCAGGGAAAGCATGGAAGGAAATGAGGACAAAGACAACAGGGACACACCGTGGAGGGACTCTGGACATCATAAGCACTTTACTCTCAGTAAGATGGAAAGAATGTGGGCTTTTGAAGTGGACTAACATGATCTGACTTTCTTGTTGAATAATAGCTCTGACAACTGTACTGAAAATATGACTGTAGTCAATCAAGAGAAGTGATCAAAATAATTCAGATGGAAGTAACGGCTTGTAGGAGAGTGGAGATGTTGATAATTCATCAGCAACTATACGTATCTTCAAAGTTAAACTGACACGCTTTGCTGATATACCGGATATGAAATGTGACTGAGGGAAAAATTTCAAGAGAGACCCCACAGCTCCTGGCCTCAAAACCTGGGACTTCCACCTACTGAGATGAGGAACACTACAGGGGAGGAAGGTTTAGTGGAGAGAACAGTGCACAGGAATTTGGCTATATAAAGTCTGAGATGCTAAGTAGGTAGCTGAATACACAATTCTGGAATACAGGAAGAGGTCAGAGGTGGAGACACACACTTCAGACAAGTCACCTTAAAACCATAAGCTCTAGCAAGTTCCTGAAATACCTACGTCAGAAACTTCCAGAGCATCGTGATGAAGTCTACAAAGCAGACACTAATGATGAGCAAATCATCACTAAGTAGAGTCAGAAATTAAAGGGATAGTCAATGGCTCACATCCTGCTTCAAAAAACACTGAAGATTTCAAGAGAGGTTTAAGCTTGCTTGCCTAAGACAATGAAGGGGAATCTTCATGTCTCTTTCTGTTATCAGTATCAGAGCTGCCATTACAGGGCTGTACAATTCTATCTAAAAACAGAGTTCAAAGAATGGTACACTGGCCTATTTCCCAAGAGCCTAGAATCCCAGTAAGGTGTATGAAACTATGGAACCTACAGTTAAGAACCAGGATTGAAAATGGAAAGGGGAGACCCACTCCAAAGTGTTAAGCTTTATGCCAATTACAAAAACTGCTCACTTCAAACACCACCTGCTTTTTGAAGCAACTGAGCTCCCTGTGTGACCACTGGTGCCACATGGACAGAGACCAAATGGTACAATCACTAGCTAAGAGGATATTCAGACCAATTCCAACAGCTCTGCCTGAGATGAAGAGGGGTCAGACTCAATTTTCTTCTTAAGGGTCTTTTTCAAATGTTATTATTTCAACATAATTCACTTGGAACTATGAGAATAACTTTTATTAGGAGAACTGGTATCTTAGAGAAGTTTGGGGGAAGGCTTTGGGTATCTGGTGCAGAGGTGAAGACAATGCTTTCAAAGTCCCATCCCATATTGGACAGACTAGATTCGAGCCCAGGCTCTACTTCTAATTCCAGCTTTGTACTAACACACACTGGTAGGCAACAGGCAGTGGGTAAATCTCTAGGCTCCCTGTCATCCACATGGTAGACTAGGATTGAGTTCTGGTCTCCTGGCTTCAGTTAGGCCCAGACCTATCTAGCTGTTGTCAGTAACTAAGGAGCAAATCAGCAGACGGAAGATCAACCTCTGTCTGGCGATCTCTGCTTTTCTATGTCTCTCTGCCTGAAAAATTTTTTTAAATTAAAAATGATTAAGGAAAACTTGTGGAGAAAACATGACACAGTGCAATCCTATCTTAACCATGACAGTAGGTGATGAGCAATTCAGGAAGACATTGGTCTCAGGAAAGACAAAGGGACATGGTTGTATATAAGTCATTCAAAACCTTTCCACCAAAAATGTAGAATTTATCTCTGTTAGGGTACCAAACCACTCTTGTTTTTATTCTATACTGTGATTCTTTTTCTTCATTAGATTGAAACAAATTTAAGTTACCATCATATTTATCAAGCCACTATTATTGATTTCCCAATCCCAACAAAATAAAAATAATCTACTATTTGTGTACTTGGAAGGAAGATCACTTAATATATTTAACACATAACAACACCTTGTTGATATGTTCCATACTAAATATAAAGACACATATACTTAACATACACAAATACATACACACATACCTCTATACACACTTAACTAAAAAATGCATTATTATGGAAAAAAAGTTTCTAATCAAATTAACTTTTTCAGCAATTCCGTGTGGAAGCAGCCTGTTTCAATGAAGTTGCATTTCCACAGTCTCAAAAATTAAAGACTGGTGGCTTATTTTAACAAATAAATTTTTAACAAAGTTGGTGAAATTGTTATACTAAGTTTTCAACATAATAATGAACTATATGCCACAGAAAATTTATTGGTCAGTTGTAATGACACACCCTTAAAATGTTGTGGGTGGGCTGATATAAACTTCAATGTGTCTAACCTTTAAAGCCCAAGTAAGTATGGTTAAACAGATTTTCACACAAGTTGGAAGCCTTTTTCAGTATGTCTGAATTACAATGCAGGCCATGTGGCTTACATGAAATTCACTGTGAGAAGCCAAGGCAATGGGCTGAGCACCTCAAAGAAAGAGGCAGTCACTTTTCAGGTCAGCAGAACCAAAGTCCAAGGAAAGACCACCACGACGGTCAGTCAAGAGAGGCGACCACCATGTGTTTCCAGAAATGCAGAAACAGAGAGAAACTGTAATATCAAAAGGAAAAAGAGAGACCTACACTCTGTATCACAGCTGTGGACAACTTTCTGAATTTCAGCCAATGACAGGAGAGGTGACTCCTCACAAAGCCAACTATAGGCAAAACGCTCAAGGACAGGAATTGGCCAACTTTCTATTAAGGGCCAGAGAATAAATATCTGGGGCTCTATTGACCATTTGACCATTATCTCTCCTACAGCCATGTGATGCTGCCTGAGGCACCAAAGCTGCCAAGAATCAACCTGGAAAGGAGGTGAGGGAGAGTGTTGTACTCTGAGACCAGGTCTAAAAAACAAGCAGCAGACACATTCAGGTTGCAGGCTAAGGTGTTGTGCCCCCTGCTTGAGGGATACAGCTTTCAACATTCCTTTTAAATACCAAGACAAATAGGAAATTTTTCTTTTATATAATACATATGTAATATATGGGGCAGGGGCTTTAAAAAGTTCATGGAAAATGCATATTAAGCTTTATCCCAATTTTCCACCAGCTTTTATGAGCACTCTCATAGACATAGCTAAGTATCCCAATGTAACAGTTTATTGTAAGTGAACACTTTGATGTTTTAAAGTGTATGGCTTTGAAGGTTTCTTTAGTTAAACCACTAGCTTTATCTCACAAATGGGTAGTAATCCACACTGAAAAAAACTGCTCCAGTATACGGGGCAGCTGGGCCATATTTATTTATAAGCAATAATGGAAATTTCCTAGTATTAGCTAATACTTACTGAATGCTTTCTATTTGCCATGTAACTGAACTATGTCCTAGTCATCTAGAAGTTTATAAAAAAAGACATTGTTGCCCCATAATAGTCAACAGTGTAATAGCTTCCAACTAGTGGTAAACACTGTTATCTGTATAACGGGATATTGTAATACTACCTATCTATCTGATAAGATCACTGTGAAAATTACAATTTTAGCAGTGTCTAGCACATTTCATGTAAGCTTTTGACATTATTATTATTCAAATAATTAAGCACCAATAAATACTTTTAAAATCAAGCTTCAGGGTGCACTGTTGTGATCCAGTGTGTTAAGCCATGGCCTACAACACAGGTATCCCAAGTCCAAGTGTCAGTTCTAGTCCCTGCTGCTCTGCTTCCAATTCAGCTTCCTGCTAATGCAACTGGGAAGACGGTGGAAGATGGCCCAAGTGCTTGGGGCCCTGCCACAGATATGAGTTATCCAGAAGTAAATTCTCAGTCCTGGCTTTGACCTTGCACAGCACCTGGTGTTGTGGCCTTTTAGAGGAGTGAACCAGCAGATGGACAATTTCTCTCTGTCACTTTCAAATAAAATAAATCTTTTTAAAAAATTGAGTTTAGGGCCGGCGCCGCGGCTCACTAGGCTAATCCTCCGCCTTGCGGCGCCGGCACACCGGGTTCTAGTCCCAGTCGGGGAACCGGATTCTGTCCCGGTTGCCCCTCTTCCAGGCCAGCTCTCTGCTGTGGCCAGGGAGTGCAGTGGAGGATGGCCCAAGTACTTGGGCCCTGCACCCCATGGGAGACCAGGATAAGTACCTGGCTCTTGCCATCGGATCAGCGTGGTGCGCCGGCCGTGGCGCACTGGCCGTGGCGGCCACTGGAGAGTGAACCAACGGCAAAAAGGAAGACCTTTCTCTCTGTCTCTCTCTCTCACTGTCCACTCTGCCTGTCCAAAAAAAAAAAAAAAAAAAAAAAATTGAGTTTAATTACACAGCTATACTAAAATAACAGTAGTTTTTAAAATGAAATCCAATTCTTCAACTAAGGAGAGATGACCTTACCCACTTTATTTAAAATTAGGGAGGCTCACAATGACCCATCATGATAAACAAGTAAAACAAACAAGAGAGAACTGTTAACTGCCCTGACTTCTCCAACCCTTGCCAAACAAAACGGAGAAAAGGATTCCTCTGTGCTTCAATCCAGAAGACACATGCCATCTTTAGATCATTTTTTACCACTAAGAAACCTATAGCAAAAGATACAGGTAAAAAGAATTCAAGAAAAATAAAAGGCATTCCAAATATCTATAATTACTCTGCCTGAGCATTTAGCTAAAGTCAGACATAAACTTCCACGGAAATTGTTTAACCATTAGGAAAAATATTGCATACCTAATAACTATTTTGCATATAAGACTAGAAATTCAATGGTAAGTTACATGAGAGCAGAGATCTTTGGTACTTCTCATCGATGTATAAGCAGAACTTAGAAGGGTCCTGGCACCTAAGGGTTTCTTGACATTTTCTAATTTAACAGGTTTCTCAATCTGACTGGTAAGAAATTAACATATTTGGGTACATTTATAGGAAGAAGAAATAATTTTACCTTCTTTTTCTACTCTAAAAACAAAAGTTCTTTGTGTTGTAACAACTTCAAATTTGTTGTCTCCTTGAACTCGTACTGTTGATATGGCAGAAAGGGGAATTATTCCCTTTGAATACATCTCCTGTGTTGGTTAGAGAAAAAAGATAAAGACAACACATTAAAATGAACTTCTTGATCTTATCAAAAATGGAATAGTATTTAAAAGTCCTTCTCTTTCCCAATTTCAATCTAAATTTAAAAAATCATGTACAAATACTATGTACCCTTATTACATTGTTTTAGTAGAAAGGAAGGACTATTAAATGCCCCCTTTAAGTGAGATGTGTTTTCAATTGTTTCCAACTGCAATTAAATAGCAAAGAATCAAATACAAACAATCCTACTATACCAGAGGTATTCAGTTCCAAAGAACAGCAACAAATCCTTTAAGACAAGCTGGTCAAAATGATTTTATGGTGTTTGCAGGCATCTGCTGGCCACAGCAGGTACTGTAACTGAACTTCAAAAATACTGCTACTCTACTCATATACTGAGAACAAAACCAGACATAAGAAACTGGATTTTTATCAATTAACCATATTACACAATGCTCTGGGAGTGAGGATTTTAATCTCACTCTCACGCTGTGTCACTTTACTTTCTGTTTCTCAATGCTTAAAGAGTAAAAAAAAAGATTTGCCTGCTAGTAATTGGTATATACATGACAATTTTGCTCAAAAGCACATTTAAAGATTTTAATCATTTTTTTCAATCTGAGTTCTCTTGGACCCTAGCCAGTCATTGGGCATGATGATCAGCACAGAGTTTTACTCACTTATTAAAGGTTTAATATTTACTGAGCCTTGGATTGAAAAGAAAATTTGGAGTCCTTACACTTTCAAAGAGCCTTAGAATGAAAACCCAGCTAACGTGATGAGAGAAAAGTTCAAAACTCAGAACAAACTAACAGATAAGGGAATACAAAGGCACAGATTTTCAATTCTGCTAAAAGAGCTGAGAAAGTATTTTTGTTTTTGTTTGTTCAGCTTTGTTTTTACAAAGTGACATTTGAGCCTAACTTAAGAAACATTAACCAAATAAAAAAGCAGGTAGGGCTCATTCTGGTAGGGAGCTCTACATAATGGAAGTGTCAAGCAGGCAAATTTGAGAACAGCAATGTAGTGTCAAAAGAGATGAAGCTGAAATTATACAGCAAGACCACAACATGGGGGCCAGCACTGTGGCACAGTGGGCTAAGCTGCTGTATGCAAAGTCGGCATCCCATATGAGTACTAGGTCAAGCCAGGTCATGTTTTGGCTGTTCCAGTTCTGATCTAGCTGCCTAGTAAAAGCAGCAGAAGATGGCCCAAGCACATGGGCCCTTTCCACCCGTGTGGGAGAGCCAGATGGAGTTCCATGCTCCTGGCTTCAGCCAGGCCTAGTCCCAGCTGTTGTAGCCATTTTGGGGAGTGAGCCAGCAGATGGGAGATCTTTGTCTCTCGCCACATTTCCCTCTCCCTCTCTGTCACTCTGCCTTTCAAATAAATAAATAAATCTTAAAAATAATAAAATCACAATACAGAAGTTCTTGAACATGAGAAGAATCTGGATACATGCTTAAGCTGTTTCTTCTCTTTCGTTCCACAATATATCCATGCTGGTTCCAAGTATCTAAAATAAACAGTCAGTAGCAGAATCTGCTAAGTCACTCCACAGAGAGATCAAGTACCAAGTTCACATTCCTACCCTCTGTAAACTCCCGCCTCAGCATGGGGACAGTCATTGTCATCAACATGGCACCCCACTAGGAGGATCATCCTCCTTTGAGAGTTGAGGAGACACAAGACAGACTACATCATCCTGGTATTCTCTCTCAGTTCTCCAAGAGTTTCTTGTCTTTCACTGGCTTGCTCCAATCTCCTAACCCTGACTTTACGCATCCATCCAAATCCTATTAAATATTCAATGATATCTTAAATACCAATGCCATGGAGGCCTGAAGGCTTTTCAATGTCTTCCCATGCAGCCAAAAGTGAATGCGATATCTGAATAGTGATTTTAAAAAAAATTAACGAGCACCCTCATAGAAAAGGGAAAAGGATGTCAAAAAATAAACACTTAGATAATAACCTGTTTCTTCTACTTAGTTTCCATTATTTCTGTTGCACCTTCTCTACACAAAGTCTTTTTTTCTCATTATTTCCAACTACCAGCTTTATGAAGAAAAACTGAAATCTCTCCCCTCTTTCATTATCTACCCATTTCACTCGACACCACGCTCAAACTTCAACTCATCCACAGTGTATGTAACTCCGTTAAGCATCTCAAACTGAAAAACAGATTTCCTTCTACACAAGGCCATTTAAACATCTCTCTTCTAGACAATCAATGTGAAACAGGATGCGATACCTTTTAGAGGTGCTGATGTTTTGCGCCACGTGGCTTGGACTCTCCTGCATCTGCAATGTCCTTTCTTCCCCATGACACCCTGATTCTGAATTCCAGTCACACTGGCCTTCTTGAGGTCCCCTGAACATGGCATGCTTCTGTCCAAACCAATGCTCCTGCACGCACTGCTTGCTCAGCAGGGAAAGTTCTCCGCACTCATCATCATACAGTTACTGCCTCCTCATCCCTCTCACTTCAGCATGAATACACCCTCCTCAGCAAAGCCTCGGCAACCAGTCTCTTCTCTTTGGTCCCCATCCTGACCCTGGCAAGTAATCCTAATTTAGGCTGAGAGCAACCTGTACTTTTCCTTTAGAGCAATTACTAATTATAATTTTTTTTTTGACAGGCAGAGTGGACAGTGAGAGAGAGAGACAGAGAGAAAGGTCTTCCTTTGCCGTTGGTTCACCCTCCAATGGCCGCCGCGGCCGGCGCCCTGCGGCCGGCGCACCGCGCTGATCCGGTGGCAGGAGCCAGGAGCCAGGTGCTTCTCCTGGTCTCCCATGGGGTGCAGGGCCCAAGCACCTGGGCCATCCTCCACTGCACTCCCTAGCCACAGCAGAGAGCTGGCCTGGAAGAGGGGCAACCGGGACAGAATCCGGCGCCCCGACCGGGACTAGAACCCGGTGTGCCGGCGCCGCTAGGCGGAGGATTAGCCTAGTGAGCCGCGGCGCCGGCTACTAATTATAATTTAAGTGTTTTTTATATTTATCTGTGTGGTTATTTGGTCAATATCATCTCACCAAATAGCCTTTGAGGTATTTATCTATGGAAATATTTTCTGAATGAATGAATCCCATGTCCAGTCAATCACAATTAGACCAAACCCTGATGACTCACTTTTAATATTTTGAAATTTATTATCACTTCTAGTGAATCTATACAAGGCCTACAACCTGGCTATATCGCTAATGCCTGGCTAATTGCAACACTGTCTTGACTTGCTTCTCGACTCTCAGCTTGTTTTCCTTCTAAAATTCCATGCATACGGTTGTTCAGATATCAGAACACTGGAAAAAATTAGAAAAAGATACATATTCATGGAGGAGGATCCTGACATTTGCACATGATCTTGACAGAAATGAGTTGGGGGGCTGAAAGAACACGGAGGCGAAAATATAGGGAAAGAGCTGCTCAAGTTTCCCACAGTGCATACCCAGACACTGTTACAAAGAAATGTGACACGACTAGCTTCACAAAGGAAGCTCTATGAATGCAAGAATGATAAAATGGCAATATGATCAGTAAGTCCTTTAGGAATTGAGAAGAAGGAGAGAACTTCACCCCACTGTCAGGCAACGTAAGAACATAAGGAGGCAGGAGCAGCCAGAGCATTTTTCACGACAGGGTCAGGACCTCTCTGCTCTAAGTCTGCGGTGGCTGAGATCAAATGGTAGAAAATTCAGAATATCCAAACACATCTACACTTTATCCCCTGGGTGATCTGTCTCTGAATTTTAGCCTGCCTAAGAATGTGAGGAGACTACAAAACGCAACCCTAGAGAGATAATTAACTATTTATTGAATAAATGTTACCCTTAACCCATTTTCCAACAGAGAAAAATCAAGCCAGCACTATATGAAAAAAAAAAAAACAGCAATATAATAAAAGTGGATTATTTTTTCACTAGATCTCTTTAAAATTACTGCGGGGGAGGGAGGCCTTAGAAAACAAAAAGCAATAATAAAAAAAAAAGGGTGAGAACTTTCCACATTGTGACTGAAACACATTTCAGAAGGGCCTCATATAAAACCAAAGTGCCTGGCGTCAAGCCCTGGCTCCAGTTCCAGTTCCAGCTTTCTGCTAATGCATAGCCTGGAGGCTGCAGAAGATGGTTTAGGGATGTAGGTGCTTGCTGCCCAAGCTGGAGACCCAGAAAGAGTTCCTGACTTCTGGCATTGGCTGGGCCCAACTCTGCCATTATGTCCATTTGGGGATTGAAATAGATGATGGAAGATCTCTGTCAGTTTTTCTCTCTCTCTCTCTTCCCCTCTCTTTCTTCCTATAAAACACACTTCAAAAATTATAAATGCCTATAACACTGATAACATAGTTAATAAATAAATACTTCTTGTGGAGTAATGAAAAAAAACAGATTCCCCAGAAGTAATTATATATGCATGTGTATGTGTGTGTGTGTGTGTGTGTGTGTATGAATGAATGAATAAGACAAGCTAAATACCCTGTCACTTTAAACTCAGGAAGTAGTATTTTCTTAAATAGCTCATTTTTATTCTATTATGAGATTCCAAGACAATCTCATCATTTTCAACAATACAGAGTTGATTTTCTATTTTTCTTGTAACAACACAAGATAAAGACAATATAGAAAAAAATACTCAAATAACAACAAGCTCAAAATGCCTGTGTGTTTCGGAGTGTGAAAGTTTCCTTAAAGAGAGACATTTTAAAGAATCCCTTGAGCCTATACCACACAGATATCTAGGTCAAGCTTGTCATTTATCTACCACTTTCAGACAATGAAATGACCACAGGACAATTCTGCCCACAGCTGAGTGAGAATGGAGGTGAGCTGGATTTCTTAGCAGTGGATAAGATACCAAGGCTGTTGGGATGATGCGATTGTGTGTGATATAATGAAGGGGTCCTTCAGAGACAGGGCTGATGGACAGCACTGAGCAAAGTGGAAGAAATCTAGGGAAAATGGGCAACTCTGCACGCCACCTCCCGAG